AAGCCCCGTCCAACCTGGCCTTGGACACTTCCAGGGATCCAGGGGCAGCCATGGCTTCTCTGGGCAACCCGTGCCAGGGTCTCCCCACCCTCAGAGCCCCAGTGTAGTGCTGTCTCCTTCCCTAGGGCATTGCTGAGCCACAGGGAATGGGCAGGGTGGCACAGGAATACTGTGGAAATTGTTTCTGTGCTACTTGAAGTCTCAGGTGGGACAGAATCAGAGTTCTGCAGGTTGGGCAGTAGTTGTGTGTTGCTGCCTTTTAACTGTGCTCTGTACTTTCAGTTTCTTTGGTTACTCTGGTTCCTAAAACTGTTTCTTTCTTCTTCCTGTTTCTTTCTTCTTCTTTTTCCTTTTTCTTTCTTCTTCCCAAACCTACAGTTTAGTGCTCACAAAGTGTTTAGGGACCCCAAGAAGTGAGGGAACTGCAGAGAGTTTATTAAGGCTGATGCTGGCACAGGTTGCCCAGAGAAGCTGTGGCTGCCCCTGGATCCCTGGAAGTGTCCCAGGCCAGGTTGGACGGGGCTTGGAGCAACCTGGGCTGGTGGGAGGTGTCCCTGCCCATTGCAGGGGTGGCACTGGATGGGCTTTAGGGTCCCTTCCCACCCAAACCTTTGATCACTCTGTGCTCTGTCTGGTGTGGCTGCCCAGTGACAAACCATTCCATGTGCCTGAACCAGTTGTTCAGAAAGTTTCAGTTCCAGTTTTCCTCTGCCCCCCTAAATCCTCGCTGTGCCTCCACCTGCCCAGGATGCTGCTCCAGAGGCCTTTTCCTTGACCATGTTGTCCTGTTAAATCCTCTTTGGGTTCCTCCTTGTTCCCGTTATCACACACGGGATTCTTGTCTTGTCCTCGGCTTTGATCCTTCCCAAACCTGCTGCTGGGGTCGGTCCCAGGGCAGCAGCTCCCCAGTCCATGGCTGGGCTGCCAGGGTTTGTTCCTGCTTTTTCCAGGATCCCTCTGGTAAGGGGGCACATCCAGGAGCTCCTGTAGGTGCCGTGGGGCTCCCTCTCGTTGTTCCCTGCTGGTTCTGTGCTGCTGAATGCAGAAGCCATGCCAGGACTGCCCCAGGCTCCCCAGGACTGCCCCAGGCTCCCCAGGACTGCCCCAAGCTCTCCAGGACTGCCCCAGGCTCCCCAGGACTGCCCCAGGCTCCCCAGGACTGCCCCAAGCTCTCCAGGACTGCCCCAGGCTCCCTGGTTTTTTGGAGCAGGCTGCTTCTTGCACAGGCTGTGGGTCATTTAGAACTTGTTGGCTGTGGGAGAAGAAATCATGATTTTGTTGTCTCTGTTTGGTTTAGTGTTTATTAAAAGACTTGTGCCAGTGAAGACTTTCAGGCAGCCTAGATCTGGGAGAAAAGGCAGGAGACCTTATGATGTGATATCTGTTGTGGATTTTCATTTGGCCAGGTGCATCTCTTTGGAAACAAAGGGAATTATGATAGCAGGGTGCCAGTTCGTTACCAAATTTTAAAAGGATTGGATGTCTAAAGGATGTTCTGTGGTTCAAAACCACTTAAAAGTATAATAATTCAAAGTAGTTACTGACTGACTACAAGGGTGAGGTATTTTTCAGCCTTCATCAGTGCAGCTTTTAACTTCATTTGGGTCAAAGGACAGACTTGCTGATGATGGAGGTCTTTTCCAAGCTAAATGATTCTGTGATTTAAGAGATGGGGGAGTGAAGGGGGTGTTCTGGCATAAGGCAAACAGGGAGGGAGCTGAGGCCTTAATTTAACTTATTTTTTAAAACAGAAAGTGCCAAAGCTTAAGGGAGTTTTAGTTTTCAGTGCTTGGTTTTACAGAAGCAATGGCCTGTCACCAATTAAAGTTTTACTTGTGGCTTATCTTTGTTTTTCCTTTTAAGTTAATGTAGGAGATGAAATTAAAGAATTAAAACCCAGCAAGCCCTTTTATCCCTGACTCAGCTGTGTTCATGTTTCCAGGTGTTTCTCACTGCCCCTGGACTGGGATTACTGGGATTGCTGGGATTTCCCATCCCTGCAGCTGTGCCAGGGGAGCTCTGGGTGAACTTTGCTGAGGGTTGGGTTGGTCCTGTCAGTGCTTCCAGCTGTGTGTCACCTGCTGCATCCCCCACCCTGGGTCAGGAGGGAAAGGGGCAGAAATGGAGCTCAGAACATCTCCTGGTAATGAATATTCCATTTGGCTGAAGAGGCAGCTTTGGAGTTCTCTCCTGTGCTCTGTGAGCAGTGCTGGGCCCTGCAGGGTGCAGTGGCTGGGAAGGGTTTGCCAGATCCATTTTGGGAAGCACAGCTCTTAATTAGGGTATTTCCAGCTTCTTACTGCTTGAAAATCCTGGTGGAATGTTTCATTACCTTACCTGACAGTGGCACTGCTTTATTTTAAGGAGACAGTTTTGGCTGCTGGATTTGCTCTTGTTTGCAGGCTCGTGGTGAATCCCACATACAGACATTACCTTCAGCCTCCAACAGATTGTAAAAACCCCTTCCTGCTGCTCAGGCTTTGGGGCAGTTCAGTGAAATCAGTGTTTGGCTCTCTGGTTACTCAAGTAAAGCATTTCGGTGTCGTGGGCACTGAGTGTCCTGAATTCTCTGCCCCCTCTCTGTGGTTTGCTGGGGAACAGATCTGATTGTTTGTTAAACACAGAGCCTTGTCCTGCAGAGCCTGCAGATCTGCTGGGCCCCAGGCTGAGTGATTCCTGGGGACTGGAAAGGAATGTGTGGTGCTGGGTACCTAAAATAACACCTGGGGCGGGAACCTGCAGTGCCTCTGTCACCCTGGTCACTGGCTGACCCCTGAGTTCTTCAGGGCTGGGGTTTCTCTCTGTTCTGGGCACTGAACTGACACTTGCAGTCCTGAAGTGACAGAAATGCAGATGGTCTGGAACTCTCCTGGGTTTGGATTTGTTCTGTTTTGTCCTGGGGGAACCTGGAGCTTCTTTCTAAAGTCGTGTTGAAAACTTTGGAAAGTTTTCAGAGAAACCCACGGTTAGTGTTGTTACTCGTTCCATCTTTGTTTAACTTGCATCCAGTAGGATCTTTATCCATTTCTGACCACGTGGGCACATGAGGTTGCTGGGCTCTCACTGGGGCTTAGGCCAGGATGTTTTCATGGAATCACAGAATGACTGAGGTTGGCAAAGAGCTCCGAGATGGATCCCCCCTGTGCCCCATCCCCACCTTGTCCCCAGCCCAGAGCACTGAGTGCCACGGCCAGGCCT